CAGAAAAAGGCCAAAAAACAAACAAACCCAAAACACTACTTTTTATCGGTTTCAAATAAATGTTTAATAAATTGGGAAAAATGGATTATTGAAAGTTGCAGAATTCTGCCAAACTTGTTCCATTCCTTCATCATTTCTCTCCGGTGCCCTAAATGAACTCTCTGTTGGGATATGTGTACTCGCTGTACAAGTGTCATTCCATTGATTTTACTATTGAAAGTAATGATCTTGTTTGGTACAAGTTGGGCCTGTTGGCCTGGGCTTTGCACGAAGCCTATAGTATTATTAATGCAATAATAAAACTAGAAATGGTTTCTTACATACAGGAGGTGTTGGTTTTTCTGTATCATATTAATAAAAGCAATGTTACACATGTACTGTATTAACGGACATTACCCTCTTCCTCGGGGGTTCTATTTAGGAGTCAGGACACAGCAGTTTTGTTAAGTAGACTTGAAGGTAAAGGGAAAAACAAACCCTTTAACCCAAAATGTGTCAGTATAGATTGCATGTATAGAGTACATATAATCATCAAAATTACAGTCTAACACAGAGTGCTAGCTAGGTAAATGACCACTGTGTAAGGAAAATGGTGTCTATTAATACAGATTAAATATTGATAGAGAAGCAGTATGCACCCAGAGTATCCTGCAATGGGCTGTATATGCACCTTCAATAAAAAGTATATAGATTCAATGTATAGTGTGATGTGACCGACCCAGCGTAATGGGAGGGGAATACTTGAGTGTGTTCCTTGTCTAGTGATCCAGCAAACATGGCTAGATTAAAGGGTCTCACAAAAGTTACTACTGTAAGCACATGCTCCAATTGTCAGCTTTAATATGAGCGGTGGCTTGAACTGTATGCAACAAGGAGATATAAACTGGTTCACCACCGCCTGAACAGAATCAAGAAAATTCTAAGAAAGGAGGGGCTTGGATGAATCTGCACTGAAATTGCTGCCAGGTAGTTCCTAATTAAACAATAAAATATAACCGACTAAACACAAGTGAAAATACTTCTTGAGTTTCAGCGCTTCCAATGAATTCTCACAGTCCAGGTTCTTGAAATAATGTAAAAAGATTTAAAAGATAAAAATGCCTATTGTACTTCACACAGGTTCCTGATTTGGTAATCTGCTTGGGCCCACCCTCAGGTTAGATTCCTCACCACAGAGTTTGCAGGGAAAATGTCTAAATCCTTTTGCTGCCTTCTTGACAAGGAATGTTCACACTTGAGCACAAGTAGCACATGGCCTTAGTCTTTCATTTCAAATCTAGTCCAATCTGGACAATGAGCAGGGAATGGTCATCACCCCAGGCATAATTCAAGACAAGCAACAGAGCAAACCTTACCACCACCATATATGTAACGATACTCCAAACACATTACATTCAGCTGGTATCTGCTCTAGGAGGCAGTCATTGGAAGCTCTGCTCACGGTTCAGATACATCTTCAAACATGGTAAGGAGATTCCGAGGCAGGAAAGAAGAACGTGGAGCATCAGCATCCTCAAATCCAGATGAGTTTGAACTGCTGCTAGGGCTCAATGTTTTCACACTACTTGGAGAGTCCTGGCTGATACGGCTCACATTAGGGGTCAGAGTCAGAGCTGACCTATAAAAAAAAAATATATATATATAAAAAAGATGAGCCAATCAGAGAAGAGATAAGGAGAGCATGGCTATTAGCAGGACCCGCAGATAAGAGACTCACCTCCTTCTTATCCCATACTCTGGGGACATGTTACGAGGTGTGGAAGTGCTACCCAGTGATGGCCGTGGCAGATCAGGGGAATGTCTAGTGTTGCAAAAACATGAAAAAGGTTACACCTAGACGTCTATGTAAGTTCCATTAGTTCTTAACCCAGTTTCACATTCAGTACCTGCCAGGGAATTCATGACCATGATAAGTCAGGTTCCTCAGAGGGACCAGGGGACTAGGTGGAACTTCAAACACATCATCACCAAGGCTATCATCATCATCCCAGTCACTAGAAATGCTGCTGTCACCCAGGCGGCCAGATACAGGAGAGGCATGAAGGGGGCACTGAGACAATCGTCCTCCAACACAGCATACTAACCACAGAAATGGGCGTTTAAGACTTTCAGCTACAAAGGAGAGGAGCCATACCAACAGCTGAGGAGAAAATAGGTGAAAGGTACTTGTCAGAATCTGATAAAATACCACAAGAAGGAATTTCCATGTTGACAGTATCTCACCTGGTACAAAACAAGAAGCTTTCCTAGAGTCCACTGTGTAGCAAGTGTCAGCTTTCTCCATCGCTCTGCTCGCTGGATGGCAGGAAGTGAGAGGAGCCAGTCCACTGTGGCTCGGCACCGATGGTCCGGATCAAGCATTGCTGACAAAACTTTCAGGAAATCTGGGGGCAGATCTGATGAGCAACAGGGAAGAATAAAACCTCAGGATGAAAGACATCTGCTTGACTTCTTACAACTGACCTAGATTTTTGAATACAGCACTAGAGTAGGTATGCAAGCTAACCATAGTTGATGGGTATGTTATTTTTGTATCACGGGATTATAGATTGTACATGCATGGGATGGTCCAGGGGTGGAGATCTATGCTACAGGTACATCAAGCACATATCACAATGGTCAAACTGAGGGAGGAAGCCCTCTCAGCCAAATAGGTCCACAGGCCAAGCTTTGTACTAGATATGCTGCTCAGGATACCTAATTCTCCTATAAGATGTAAACCAGAAAGATAGGTGGTTATATACTTGCCTGATGTGAACTCTGTTGGAAGATGTCCTTGCCTCAGCAGTTGCCAACCTTCCCCTCCTGTTGGCAGCTCCATATTGCAGGAAACCTCTAGAAGAGTCATCCCGAGGCTAAGATTTAGAGTCAGACGTCAGTTAATGTTCAGCATTCTAGAAGCTGGTGCATTCATTTAATAGGTTTTCCTCACCTGAATACATCAGCCGCTTTCCCAAACACGCCATCAAGCAACTCAGGGGCCATGTACCTGGGATCTCCCTCTTGAGCATCTCCACTTCCGTCTGAGCCATCTAGTTCTACCATAAGCCCAAAGTCCCCTAACTTGCAGACCCCAGAAAAGGCAATAAAAACATTTGCTGGCTTAATGTCCAGGTGCAACAGGTTGCGATCATGTAGATGTTTTAGACCCCGTAACAAATCACAAGTGACATTCCAGATCCGTTGTGGTGGCAAAGGCCCTGCCAACTCTTCTGAATACTGTTGCAAGCTGCCAACACAAAGCTCTGTCTGCAGATATAGTAGGCTTTTTTCCTCCCAAGCTCTTACAAAGCGCACACAGTTAGGATGCTGTCCAACACGCTCGTGCTTTCTCACTTCCTGCAACTTGCGTTGGCGATCTGACTCACCACGGAACGGTGAAACGGAGCGCTTTACAGCATACAGGCAGCCATCTTCACGACTTCGCACCTAATGGTAAACCAAGATAGGAGCAAAAATAACAAACGGTGCACTATATACTACCAGACATCTGTTTGGAACAAAGTCAGGGTCACACGTGGCAATCTGAATACCATGTTAATGCATTCACTCCATAATTTCATCACCCAGTGTTGGCCAACACTTGCAAATTGCCCTGATGTGGAGACTGCATAAAATGGTGTAGATACAGCACAACTTGAAGAATTACAGTCCAAAAGATTACTAAATGACACTTCATCTTACCACTTACACAAACAGCTGGCAGCCATAGGGTAAAGGTCAATAAATAAAACCAGGGAAGCAGTGCTCCATATGAACCTCTCCCACAGGGGCAAAATTAGTGTTTGAGTTGCGCTCAAAGCTAGGCACGTATTATTAACCCTTATACTGCTGCCTATGGTGTAAGCGAATTAAGTTTACCGTAAATGGGAGCATCCATAATGTTCCTTGGTCATGCTGGCTTGGTTCATAGTGTGTGTACATGGCACCCAAATTCCATTTTAATTATACTTTTTAACATACAGAAACATGCAGTGGGCAAGATATTGCTTTATCAGCAAAAAGTAAACCCAAAATGGTGTAAATATATGGTCAATCCATGCTTGGTAAAGTTAAATTCCTTTACTTGAATTTAAATCCATCATAAACAAGCATGGTTATTCAATAAAACCATTTACATGAATTCATAGAGGAATTGTAAAATCTTCAAGTCGCCTGTCTTTCAGCTCTGGATTTAGTGAATAATCTTCTTGGGTCCAGTTCTGTGAAAAACCCTGATAGGCTGAAAAAAGCCTCCGAGTAAGCCCTTTAAATCCCATCCTTCCAGTGCATGACCCCATGCATATCACAAAGCCTACACACCTGGTCGAGAAGGTAATGACAGCCGACATGGGTTCAGCTCATTAAAAATGTTAAATTGGTAAGCTTTTCCAACAATGGAGTGGTATTTCTATAAACAGAATGAAGCTCTCAATTCTAGGAGCATCTTATACAATGGCCTTCTTTCACTAAACCAAGAATGGGGGGATTTTGGGTGTGAACAGTAAAAATTATTAAACTCTTGCCTCATCCAGCTCCCTAAAATGAGCAATCTTTAAAAGTTTTCTAATAAACTTCAGTTGTGCCAGATAGGATGGAATCAGCTCTGCACATGTGGCCCCCAGAAAGCACTTCTGAAATGTGTTGCTGTTTGGTCATTATATTCCCACCAAGCAGAGCTGTACTTTGTTAGTCTCGCATGTTGCTCATTCTGACAGCAATATAACGAACCCATCTCTTTGGTCACACAAGTGTTTATCTAAGTATCAGACTTACAAAGAGGGTTTACGAGTCTGGATGATGGGATTATAAACCTGCTTCCAGTTACAGCAATAAACCATTAAGAAGAGTTTTATCTCCTTTGTCCCAGGATAGTCTCACCTTATACACTTCGCCAAAGGACCCTCTGCCCAACTTGCAAATACTCTGGAAGCACTGCTTAAAGAAGGTCTCGCCTTTGCTCTGGTCATAGAGTTTGCTGGCCGGTGGGACAGTTTGAGGAGTACGAAAAGATACGCTCTGAGGACGAGGCTGGCTCCAGGAGCGCTGCCTGTTGGGAAAAATCCGACTAATGGGTGGGATGCTTTTTACCGGAGGACGAGGTGGAAGGGTGTAGCAGAGTGACCGTCCTCTCTTCTTGAGTGAAAAGCTTTGCTCAGCCTGATGGAAATGAGCAGGCAATGGAATTGGAGTGCGGGTAAGAGGTGCCTCACCCATGTCATCCCTGGGTATTGGCATGGCAAAATCTGCCAGGTAATGGGACAGGTGGTTCTTCCTTCACTCAGAAGTCCATAAACTGAAGGAAAACAAAACATGACAGACATTAGTATAGCTATTCCCATTAAAGGACCACTATAGGCACCAGACCACTTCAGCTTAATGAAGTGGTCTAGGTGCCAGGTCCAGCTAGGGTTAACCCTTTTTTTTTTTTTAAATAAACATAGCAGTTTCAGAGAAACTGCTATGTACTGCTATGTTTATAAATGGGTTAATCCAGCCTCCAGTGGCTGTCTCTTGACAGCCGCTAGATGCGCTTGCGTGCTTCTCACTGTGATTTTCACAGTGAGAAGACGCCAGCGTCCATAGGAAAGCATTGAGAATGCTTTCCTATGAGACTGGCTGAATGCGCACACGGCTCCTGCCGTGCATGCGCATTCAGCCGAGGAGAGGAGGTGGAGAGCTCCCACCCTGGAGAAGGAGGTAAGTTTAACCCCTTCCTCTCCCCAGAGCCCGGCAGGAGGGGGACCCTGAGGGGGCACTACAGTGCCAGGAAAACTAGTATGGATTGTATTGTATTAAAACACGGTTTTTACATCTGTAAATGTTTATACTATACTGGACAGTAATCCTGTAGAAGTCCCACCTATTCCCTCTTCAAACAGCTTTATAGTATTACCAGCTTTCCCAGGGCCCCCTCTCCTAGAATAAAAAATATAAATAAAATGTAAAGGAACATTGTTAGCAGCTGCAGGAGAGAATTGTTTGGATTAAGTATTTAACCCTTCCTGGTTTATGCATCCAGAATTGGGCAAACACCCACATTATCTCAAGTAAAATGGAGAGCAATCAGATACCCAGCTCAGCGGTGGATGGAGCCTGTACAAACAGGGTTTCCATTCGTCTTCCACCTGCAACAGGTCTCTCAGCATTGCATGGTGGCCAAGCTGAAAAACACAAGATACGGGTTCAACATGAGTGAACGCAACAAAATATACATAACCATAGCCACAAGATACATACCAATAATGGTCGGTCTCAGTCAGTCAGTGTCTGCCTCACACACACACACACAGTCAGTGTCTGCCTCACACACACACACACAGTCAGTGTCTGCCTCACACACACACACACAGTCAGTGTCTGCCTCACACACACACACACAGTCAGTGTCTGCGTCCCTCACACACAGTCAGTCAGTCAGTGTCCGTCCCTCACACACAGTCAGTCAGTCAGTGTCCGTCCCTCACACACAGTCAGTCAGTCAGTCAGTGTCCGTCCCTCACACACAGTCAGTCAGTCAGTGTCCGTCCCTCACACACAGTCAGTCAGTCAGTGTCCGTCCCTCACACACAGTCAGTCAGTCAGTGTCCGTCCCTCACACACAGTCAGTCAGTCAGTGTCCGTCCCTCACACACAGTCAGTCAGTGTCCGTCCCTCACACTCAGTCAGTC